ACACACAATGCAAGTTATAACTGATCAGTGGTCAAGTCCACTGACAGGTCTAAACGAGCAAGTGTTGGCAGACTAGCATGTTATATATTGTGCAACACACATTGGCAGGAATACATGCCTGTAATGACTTGTTCGCAATACAATACTATTCAGTTGCATGACACAATTTTGCTCATCAAAATTTCAATGCAGGAAAAAGCCCACACATTTATAATAAATTATTAAATTTAAGATGTGTCATTTTAAAAATATTTTATATTTTTTGAAATGACACAAATTAAAAAAAAAAAAGAAAGTAGATTTCCAGGTCAGCACTGAGTGATTTCTTTTTTAAAGGGGGCAGTAGGCCAAATAAGTTTGGGAACCTCTGGCCTAGAGATAAAACACAAACTTCTGTATTTGACATTTAAAATATTTTACAGTTTGGTACCAGTCTATCTATGCAGACTGATTTCTTGTTATATTCCCCCCCACACCTTTATCATTTGTGTTCCAAATGCAATGGTCTGCTTGCTAGAAGGTACATTATACATGACATTCTAACTCCTACTTCCATGCCTTTCTATCAGCTGTACCCCCATGCCTGGAATGCTTTCTCTTCTCTCCTATCTCAAAGTATCTCTGGCTTCCTCCAAGGTTTCACTGAAGGCCCCTCTTGTAGGAGCTCTTTGCTAACTACTTGCCCTAATTATTACCCATTCCCCTAAATTAGTTTGTATATATTTAGTGTATATTTTGAATTGACATATTTGAGCCCCTGCTGTTGTACTTATATCTAATATAATGCCTTGTCTCTTAAACAGGGACTTACTAAATGCTTGCTGAATCAATGAAAAAAAGAAAGTTTGTTAATAATGGCAAGGGGTTTAAAAAACAAATAACGTGCAGTGGAAGCTGTTCTCAAGGGTGAATCGACGTTTGGGGGCAATAAGGCTGGAGGGAACAGAAATGAGAGTAGGAAAAGAGCTATTGGAGAGGATTTGAAAGTTTAGTTATAAGGAGAAGTCAGCTGAGGAGTCAAATATGGTTAATGGGGAAACTTGTAGTTCCTGACCTTTCTTATTCCAAATCTATGTTCCTGTGAACCCTGACCATTTAAAAAACTGACTTTTCACGCTTCACGCTCTCTTTGATGAGCCTACTATATATCTAGCACTGGACTAGATATCAGAGGTGCTCAAAAGCATAAAGTATCTCAAGGACACCTGAACACGTTAATGATTTCGTTGGGGAGATAGGAGACAAATGATTGAAACAGTTAACTACAATACAAAGCAGTATTTGGTAAGTGCTAGAACGGTTGGGTAGAGACTGTAAATGTTAAAGGACTTCATAGATACACACTTTTGCCAGGACTACTAAGAAGAAAGAGCTTCTTTGTTTCTTTGACTGGACATATTTAGGAACACTCTCTATTTTTCAGTCCTGTCTTCAGCACCATGTGCCATATATCTTCTATTAATGAATTTCTAGTAGGAACCACTGAGCTCAGAATATAGTGAAATCGATGCGACTGACTGTGAATGACGCATGAAGGCTCTGATTCTATGCAGCTTGCACCTTGTAACATGCAGACCCACAATATCTAGTTCAGTTACATGAAAGCAAACACTCACCAAGTTCAAGAAAAAGAAGACAAAACGTGATTCGTCTTTTGGTGCTTCAGTAATAGGGATTTGGGGTTTTGCTATTGACTTCCACTAATTTGACCTGTCTGGCTAAGCTGCTGTTTTAAGGTAAGGGAAACACTATCTCCAGCCCTTCTATAGACATATTGGTTTCTATCTTTCTCATCATTCTGTAGGTTTTCTTTTTAATCATGAATAGCACATGGATTTTTAAAGACAATATTTTATTGATATCTATTGTCTTTACATCACCTTTATATAGTCAGGGTGCTGGAGCCAGCTGCTATTGGCTAGTGAGATCTGATTGTTAAATTTTCAGTGGCAGCAGTTAAACCTCAGAAATCAGCAAACAGTACAAATCAGGACTTATTGTTTTGTTGATTATTTAGATTTAAGAAAGTGATGAAGAAATGTTAATGATGGAAATTAGGCTTAAAAATATGTTATATATATTTTTCCCCCTTGGAGAATCATTTGTTAAATATTTGTCATCATACCAGTGCCTATATTTCCCAGTGTATCCTTTCACCCTTTCTAGAGAGTCATCTTTCATAATGAAGAATAAAAAGTGGCAGGAAGGGCTGAAAATCCTAGCAGTGGACTTAGTCCATTACCTTATTTAGATACGAATGCCTTGGATTTACAGTCAGGCCTTAGTTGTCTATGTGGTATGTTGTAAGAGGTATGATATAAGAGATTGCCTTTCCTCATGCCCTGAATGGATTAAGGTAATGATCCACCTTTTATGAAGAAGCCTCTTTGATTACTTCAGTTAATAGAAGTATCACTTATGTTCACCTTTGACCAGCTGGGAAAGAAAAATTTTGAAGGGGAAGGTCAAAGAATTGAAATATTTAGGGGAAGTGATTGGCTAAGGGTGTGACAAAAGCTTGACTGGCTATTGCTTGATTTGAGGAAGAAATATTAAGTCAGCTGCTACCCAAAATGGGAACTCTTCCTCTATCTTAGCTGTCAAATATTCTTTATTCAAGAGTCTGAGAAATTGTCTTCAAAATGACGTGCTTGAGATTTTCAGAGTCATGGGGTGGCTCTGTCCATCTTTGGCTCTCTCTAAACAGAAATGCTTATATTAAAATAAGTTTAAAGTAACAAAAGTTGTTTCTGGCATATTTATGCCTACGATACAGGTTACAGAATTTTCTTTTACCCTCCTATTCTTTCCACTAAAACATGCTGGCCTCAGTTATCTTGTCTCCAAAATGAGGAGATCGAAGCAGATAATCTCTAAGATTCCTTCCAGTTCTAAATCTGTAAGTATCAAGTCTCCAATCTATAAGTCTCAAGGACTTGGGGGAGGAGAAAGGAAGAAAGGTCAGTGAGTGATTTCCAAAGAGACACTATATGAACCTTATCAGTCACTGTCTATAAAATACTTTAGCCAATTTAACCCCTTGGCTACCATAACAGACTTTTTTATACAGTCTTCCCTGCACTCATAAATCTTCAATTTTTTTTTTTTAGTTCTATGAGTTACTCTGCTTCTCTTTTTGATCTCAGCATATTGTCACTTTGGGAAGAATCTTGTAAATTAATTCACATCAAAACATTCATGACTAAGAACCTTTACGGTTTTAGCAGCTGGGTGGCTCATGAGATAGAGTGCTAGGCCTGTAGTCTGGAAGACCTGAGGTTCAAATCTGGCTTCAGACTCTGACAGACACTGGGCAAGTCACAATCTCGGTTTGTCTCAGTTTCCTCAATAGTCAAATAGGAAATAATAGCACCTACTTCTCAGGGTTGTTGTGATGATCAAATGAGATAGTATATGTAAAGAACTTAGTAGAGTGCCTGGCACATAGTTGCTTAATAAATGCTTGTTCCCTTCTCTCCTCTTTCAGATTAAGAAGGATCAGTGTGTATATCCTAAAGACATGAAGCCCGTATGGTCTAAAATTTAAGGGTCAATAAGACATGGGATAAGAGATTATTTTAAACTGAAAATCTTTTCCTGGTGCTTCTTAAGCCATAACATATGAACAGGTGCTTAGCAGAAAGAGAGCTGGCCTCAAATCCAGAAAGAACTGGGTTCAAGTCTCTACTCTGACACATACTGGCTGTGTGAATGTGGAAAAGTCACTTAACTTGTTAGGGCTCTGAGCTGTTCTCTAGGGCTATGAGTTTCAGGGAAGACACCAACCTGTATTGATAGAGTGAGTTTCCTCATCCAGAATACTCTGTATCAAAGAAAACACAGGTTTTGTCTCTATCTCTTTGAAATTCTAAGTATCAGTGACAGCTTAGAGGGGAGATAGTTGTGGACTGAAGGGGCCTCTTGGCACCCCTTAAATCATACTACACGAGCATTCATTTAACTGATTTCATCCCTGCCCAGACCTGACCCTCCTACATGTTGCTCCTTTTAAGCCAAACTTTCACACAAATATTGGGATCCTGTTCTTTTTTCGCTTCTATTAGCTTCAAAAAGGAAGGTAGAGAGACTTGCAGAGTAAGTGACAATGACACAAGCAGATTCTCCTGGAACCTCAGGATAAAGTGGGCTTAGAAACTCTTGTACTTGTAGGCAAGACAAGTTAGGTGACAAAGTGACTAGCTCATATTGTCAGACAACTTTGTAGAAAACTTTAGCCGCAACCGTGTTGATAACCTGCTATCTATGAGAGCAGCTATGGCAACCCCACCTACATCTTGGCCTTAACAATAATTCATAGGCCCAGGGGACTTTAACTTGGGATAGATTTCAGGGGGTCCATTAACTTGAATGGGGAAAAAAATGATATCTTTATTTCAATATCATTGGGTTTTGTTTGTTTTGTTTTTGTAGTCCTATGTATTTTACTTTATGCATTTAAAAACATTATTCTCAGAAGGTATCCATAGTCTTCAACAGGATACCAAGGGCCTGGGACACAGAAAAGGTGTAAAGAATGCCTGGGCTAGTATCACTTTGGCAGCAGTGCTGCTGCTACTTTGGGGTTCAGACATTGGGTTCAGAAACCAGCTAGGACTCCTTCTCTTGTGGTGGGGACTTTAACTTGCCTCCACGTTGCTCTGTTGCAGTAGTTCTCAAACTTTTATTGTTGTTCATAGCTCTGCATTATTTCTGGCCATAAGGAATTGAGGCATATCATGGGAGAGTCAGAGACTCCAGCCTTACGAATGAAATCACAAGTGTAAATTTCATTCAAATTGAGTGAGGCTCTTGCATGTTCGTGTGGAAATGCCATATCATTGGAAACTCACAGAGCAAAAACTCATGGCATAGTCCCTAGCATACTCTTTGAGAACCAGTATCCTAGGGAGTGGAAGGAAGCAGGAAAATGAACTCAAATTACCCTTAGTATTTTTTTTTCTTGCCTTAAGTTTTGACTAATCCTCTTGTTTATCTCCCAGGAGAAATTGACCTCCAAATTATTTCTCAAGTTCAAGCTCACTATCCAGGAAGTTACATCAACAATGAAGTAGTTGAACCAAATGCTGAACAAATCACCAAATACAAAGGTACAGTATTTTATGCAGTTAAAAGCAAATAGAACTGAGTGAAGAACTAGACAATTTGAAAGAGGGCAGGCTGTCACCAGAATGATAATCTGCAAATTTATATTTTTAAACTTTCTCTTCTCTGGTTTCTCCTCCTCCTGCTACACTTCCCTTCACTTCCCTCTCCCTCAACTTTTCCCCTCAGGTATTTTATTCTCTCTAGGAAGAAAATCCATAACTTGTTGCCTTACCTAAGTGTTGCCTGGGACACTGAGATGTTAAGTGACTTGCCCAAGGTCATAGAGCAAAAGCAGGATTTGAAGCCAGTTTTCCTGGTTCTAAGTCAGTTTCTCTATATCTACCACATGATGCTTCCCTACATCCCCTTAATCATTTGCAGTATGGCTTTTGTGATTGTTCTGCTCTAACGCTATTAGGAGAGAAGCCTAATTAAGTCTGCTTCCTGGTGAGCGAAAGTCCCAGGAAAACTAAGCAATAGATAGTAAAACGTCTAAGTGTTGTTTATTTACAAAAATCTTCAACCCTATCCAATTCTTCCCTATCCTCTATCATGAGCCATTTCATCTTATGTAATTGTCTAATCTAAGGTGTGTTCAACTGTGTCCCCTGAATCAAATAGATTGACTTTTTATTAGTAAGATTCACCAATTTGTTTTGCTTGACTATGCATATTTGTTACAAAGAATTTGTTTTTCTGTTTCTCTTTTTTCCCCCAATGGGGTGGAGGGTTAGAGAGACAGAAAATCGATTCCTGTACATTAAAAAGACAACTAAAGAGGTAGGGAGGTGGTACAGATGTGTAATATTGAATGCACTTTCAGATGAAGTTATTGTATCGGTGGCTTCGCTTAATTAACTGTTTTACTTCCTTATAAGAAACCTCTCTGGGGATAATCTGTAAATGTTTGTAATGCAAAAACAAAACACATTAACAAAACTTTAAAAAAAAAATAAATAAAAGATTCATCCAAGGAAATAGCAATCTTCACCTGGCCATGACTCCTATCATTGTTTCTTGTCTCTTTCTTTGTGCCTTTAATTTAGTTTAATATTATGAAAAAAATCTGATGAGATCAATGGCCTTTAGGACTGATATAAAAAAGAAAAATGTACTTTATGCCTGTTATGGATGTAACTTTGATTACATTAAAATTCTAAATGAAAATGGATTCCACATTTGCAATTGAAATTGACAGTGTGCTCCCTTCTCTCTGTATTTTAGAGCGTGTAGCCACAGCATCAAACCTCAAGAACATAAAGTTTGCTTGGCATCAGGAGACATCATCTGAATATCAAAATAGAATAACGGAGAAAAAAGAGCTTCAGAAGTGGAACTTTATTCACATGATACAGGTACAGATCTGTTTATGATAATATGATGTCAAATGGAAATTTTTTTTTATCAGAAATATATATGGGGGACAAGGAATACTCCAACCCTTAGAACAATGAAATTCTTCTGAGACTTAATTTTACCAGTGACCTTAATCTATTCTAATTGAAGACAAAAATCTTGATGATTCCAAGCTTTTTCTTCAAGTTAAGCAGCTGTGTTATTATTATATTTTTCTTTGGGAAGTTAAGTTTGGAGGTCTCTGTTCTCTTGGGCGATTGTCTCCCTTATGTCTCTAGTCATTTGCTGAAAACCCTTGTTAGGTTTAAGGAATGCTTTGTATCCTTCTTCAGGTACAGGTGTTTCAGCTGTTCTCATTACCTAGGTAATGTGCCCATCTAGACTCTGCTCCTTTGACTCTCTGGCTTACTGTTTGAAGCTTAAGAAAACTCAGTGAAAAGGGCTGCCCCCTGGGCCATCTGGTAAGGACCACTAAGGTAGTCTAGCCTTCTTGTTGGTTATCAGATTGAACTGTTTTTTCTTTGCTTTGTGTACTAATTTCAACTCAGTCTTTTGGTCATTATCTAGTTGCACTGAATAGATCAGAGGACAGCGATTAAGGAGTTCTGAGAAGTAGTTTTCCCATAGTTCTTCTGCAGTAGTCTTCAAATATGCCTAGGCAGGGTCCCTCAGAACAAATTAACTCTTGGACAATCATATCCTAAGGTATATAATGCTTTGACACTGTCAAAGTGGTGGCAGTTAGCTCTCCCATTGATCATCACAAAGTTATTCATGTTGAGTGAGCTGGCCCATCTTTCCCAGTAATCAAGCACATCACCTTGTGCTGCGCCTAAGCCAGTTTACTGGAGAATCTGTCAATAACATCCAAAGCTGTCACTTTTTCCATGATTTAAAAAGGCATCTGTACACAAACCGTTGAGCCAGTGCAAAAGGCTTAATTTTGTAGCAGTGTTCTATGAAATGGAACCTGATTTTATTGGGTTGGTGCCATTTTCTTTTAGAAATATTACTACTTTTAAAAGACAGAAAAAACATGGAGTAGGATCCGTATGCTTGGCTGCTCTACCAATATCTGAGTTATGTGGTGCAGAGAAGAGAATGTGACATTTGGAGTTAGGAAAACTTGGGTTCCGAGGATGAACTCAGGATCAAGGAAAGTCACTTAAATTCTCTTTGTCTAGAATCCTGTAGTCCTCTGGATTTAGAAGATATTTGAAATTATCTAGTTTAGTCCTCTAGGTTTACAAAGGAGGAAATTAAGGCCCACAGAGTTTAAGTGCTTTGTTCATTGTGGGACAGTAAGTGGCAAATTCTTAATTTGAACCCAGATTCTCTGACTCGAAGTCCAGTGCTTTCTGCTACTATTATTACTGTTGCTGCTGCTGCTTCTACTACTACTACTGCTGCTGCTGCTACTACAACTCATCTTATTCCTCCAATTGCTCCTACTTCTACCACTACTATTCCTCTCCTCCTATTCTTCTTCTTGCTCTTTTTTCTCCTCATCCCCTCACCCAATTATTATTTTACCTCTTCTTCCTACCACCACTACTACTATTTTGCACTTTAAATTTGCCTCAAGTTGAATAGCTAGTGCTTCGCTACCTTGAAAATTCCCTTTTGCCTAATACTCCAGTTCCCATGCAACATTCAAATCTTACCCTTTGCTCTTTTCTTGAACAAAAACTATGTACACCTTAGAAATCAAACTCCATAGTGAACATTTTGTTCCAAGAAACAAAAAGATAGACTGCTGGTTGTTATAGCCTGATTGCTTTGTTTTCACATTTTTCCTTCTTCTTATTTCCAGATGCTGTATTATGTAAAAGATATCCCAGGTACTCTGAAATTTTTCCACAGTCTCCTGGATACCAAGGGCAAGATCCTTATTATTCTTGTGTCAGGTAGGTTATTCTCATTCTAACCTGAATTTAAAAGTACAAATAGGTGAGTATGCATGTATATGTGTGGGAATGGCTTATATTATTTAGATTCATCCTAAATTGCATGAAAATGGCTTTTACAAGACAGTCAGTTGATCTTAAGGGAATTGGGAGTGCCATTCATGGCAGGTCTTAATTTGAGAGCTCTCCAGTGGGCTAAAAATCTGCATTTCCCATATGGGACCAATTCAAATGCTTGACTTTAGTTTGAGAACTCTTCACAAGACTGCTGAACAAACAAGGCAGAGTGGAGCTATTTTACTATGTGTACAAAAGATGAAACTATCATCTTTACCTACTCCTTTGACTAAATGCAGGCACTGAATAGGTACTTGGAAGAAAAGAGGAGAATGTGGTATAGTGAGAAAAATACTGGATCTAGAGTCAGGAGAGACTTGAGTTTTGAATTCTGCCTCTAACACTCACTAATTTTGTGACTGGGAAAATCAGTTAACCACTACATTTCTTCATCTACTGAATGTCAAATTAAGATGTGGAATAATTCCTAGCATTTAACTCATAAACTGTTGTAAGAATTAAATGAGATAATGTATATAAACACTTTACAAACCATCAGACACTATGTAAATACCAGTTATTGTTATACCTTTAAGAATTTCAAACGGCTGAAGAATCCATCTAAGTATGCACATCTGTACTATTAACATATATGTGAGAGATGACATGCTGTTGGAGATGGAGAGCTCTCTTCAGAACCAAGAAGACCTGAGCTCAGTTCTCACCTCTGACACATATAGGCAGTATGACCCTGGACAAGTCTGTTAACCTTGAGGTGCTTTAGGCAACTCTTTAAGCCAATAAGTCACAGAGAAGGTGCTGACTTTCATTAGCAAAAGACATTTTCTCATCTGACAGTTCCTTGTAATGATGAAATTACAGGTCTGGACCCTATTTTTAGCCATCATAGATGCAATTTCATATGGCAATGTAGCATAGAAATGTAGCAAAAGAAAACTTAAAAGGAAATAATATTCTACTGGAGTGCTAGCACATCTTTTGGTCATTTGTTTCCTGGCTATTAGACACCTACATCTAGTTAAGTAAGTAGACAAGGTACAAAGAGAAAATGAATGTGAAAAAAAGTGCTTAGAAAGGGAAGTATTGATTCTGCAAATCTCTTACTAGATATGTGTGTGTGTATATGTATATATATATGTATATATGTGTGTATATATATGTATATATGTATATATATATATATATACACACATACACATATATATACATATACACACCCACACCCTCATATGTGTGTATAGATATAAACTTCCAGGTAGAAAGTCTCCGAAATGCTCAAGTGTCATGTGCAAGATGACCAGGAATCTCAATTTTCAATGATGCATAGTACTTTGCCTCCACTCACATCCTCTTTCAAGCCCCAGCATGATGGGGAAAGAGAGGACTTGTAATTCTGCCAACAGAATACAGGCCCTGATTGGTACTGCTAAGCTGGAAAGGCTTCAAAATTACCATATGAGTATCAGCCTGTCTAAATTCTGATAGGCTTATCACCAGGTTGATCATAATCTGAGGAATTTTTTGGCAATAGAAACTCTTAAGGACCTTTTACTAAATTGTTGAAATCTCGGTCATTGGAGGGAGTACTCAGTGATAGAGTGAACCCTTCAGAAGAGGGAAAGGTGGGCGGGGCAAGAGACAGGAGAGAGGGAAAGAGAGACAAGAGAGAGAGGAAAGAGAGAGAGAGAGAGAACCAATGTTAAGAGCTGGGGATACAAATACAATCAAACAAGGCAGTCCTTAACCCTCAAGAAACTTATATTCTAAAGGGTAAAGCCAACACATAAAGGGAAGTTGGAAGGGGGCTTGAGAAGAGGCAAGGTAGCTAGAAAGGAGCTGGAGAAGAGGTAGAACAGAACAGAATATGAATCAAAGTGTGTGTAGTGATGTATGTCTGGGACTTTTCCTGAAATAATAGTTCCAGACAGGGCATCACCAATCCGGAGAGTGGAATCTCAAGGTGGAGGTTTTCCCAGGGTAGAAAGGCAGCTGACAAAGAAGAAGAAGGGTTGGAGGGAGGAGAAAAGAGTGCAGGTAGGAATAAGCAGGGAGAAAAAGGAGGAGGAGAATTCTAAACAATTGGTGAGGTACTGAGCAGATGATGCGGACTGAAATTGTTTTACTGCTTATATACAAATTTAGTTTTAAATTTTGCATACTATTCTTCAGCCTCTCTGAATGTCGAAGGTTTAGGTGAGAGGGACTTAGAAGACATCAAGGAGAAAAAGGATAACTCTCATAGATTCTGCCAGTAGTCCTTCAGAGCTTGGTTTTGCTGTCATGTGGGGAAACAAGTAAATACTCAAAATTTTCTGCTGCCCTTCTTTCAGTGAGTGAAATTGGGTACATTGAGAGTGAAGAGCCTTTTATATTTTTGGTCTGGGCATATGATTTTATTTGTATACGGAACTCTTGCAACTTCCTCCACCAATGCAAACTATTGTTAACCCTTCTGCTATTACTCTTTTAGAGCATTGTTTCCTGGGAGCACTGAGAAAATAAGTGACTTGATTAAGGCCACATAGCTAGTATTTATCATAGCTTAGACTTAAACCCAGGCCATCTTGATTCTGAAGCCAGCTCTCTATCCATTATAGCATACTGCTTCTCAAATAGTCTCTTACGTGTTTGAAATATTCAGCTATGAAAAATCAGCTCAGGTAGTTTTTGTTGTAGTATTCCCATTTTTTTTTTAAAAAAAGTCCTTTATTGGACATTTTCCTTCTCATTAAATAATTGCTCAGACAACTCTATGTGTCATATCTACCTTCCTAATTATATTTCATCCATTAATAATAACTAATATTAAAATTAACTTGCATTTTTTGTAAGCTGGGCAACAGCAGGAGGCTTTCTAGGAATACATCTGTCAGGAAGAAGAAGCTTGGCTTAGATACAAAATTTGGCAGAGAAAACTCACATGCAGATAACACAAAGTTGTCTTCACTAAGTGTTCCCATGAGCATCGTACTCTTTTTTATGAACAAATTAATAAATATGTGTTCTACCAGAAGCACAATTTACAATAACAACATTGAAAAGACAAGTTTAAAAGACTTAAGAACTATGAACAAAGCAATGCCCAAGAACAATTCCAGAGGATCCATGATACAGCAAACATGCTATTCACCCCTTCACAGAGAGGTGATGGACTCTGCTCTAAGTAAATGTAATCCTCAACAATGAAATAATTTCCATTTAACTCATAATTATGTCAAAACCTAATTATATGGAATTATATTTTAATCCTATTAATTTTGTAGTTAATAAAAGTAATTCAAATTAATGTAACTAAAACATAAAAATAAATTAAACGCATTGATCAAATTAGTAGTATTTATAAAATATATAAACTTATATCCACATGTATGTATGTATGTATGCATATGTAATATATTCCTGCTCCTAAGAAATAGCTTGCAGTCATGAAGACCTAGGTTCAAGTCTTACTTCTGCCATATTCCAGTTGTATGACTCTGAACAAATTATGTCTTCTTTCACTATTCCTAAATAAATTCTAAGACTATAAATAGCAGTTAACATTCTTCATTAATGGAATAAGCTCACTCACCATGAGTTTTCTGCACCAATGAAAACATAAGTCTGGACTAATTATAGGGGAATATTCAGGAGAAGCAGATCAGTTACTCTTCAATAAACCAAAATTTTCCTATTTGGGGGTTATTTATTGAATATAGTTGAATGTCAGTGTTGTTTTGATCAATAACCCTACTATATTCTAGGCACTGTGCTAGATAATAGGCATATAAAGACAAAAGTGAAATAGGCCTTGTCTTCAAAGAGCTTACAGTCTATAAATACATAGTATTTACAGTTTATAAATACATACTCACATACAAAATAAAGACTAGATACTTTGGGGGGTAATAGGCAGTAGAAGCTGGGGAGATCAAGAAATGCTTCATGCGTAAGATGGCATTTATGAAGGGAGCTACAAGTTTTAAAAGGTGATGATGGAGTGCATTTCAGGCATGGAAAACTCACTGCAAATAACAGTTTGGCTAGACTATGGTGTAATGTGAAGGTGAATGATATGTCATAAAGTTGGAAAGGTGGGATAGCAGTAAAGGACTTCTGAGTAGTTTATATTTTATCCTGCAGGGAGCTATGTAAAATATATTGAGTGAGGTAGTGACATCATAAGTCATATGCAAAAGGAAAATCACTTCAGCATTATGTGGAGAAAGAATTGAATTTTGAAAAAAACTTGAGACTGGAAGATCTGATAGATAGGATGCTATTAAAATAGTCCCAGAAATGTAAGTAGAGAGAAGGGATGGACATGATAAATATCATAGAGCTAAAAATTAAAGGCAGCTAAGTGGTACAGTGCATAGAGAGCTGGATGTGGGGTTAGAAAGACCCAAGCTCAAATTTGACCACAGACTTTTACTAGCTATGTGACCCTGGACAAGTCACTTAACCTGTTTTCCTCAGTTTCTTCATCTGGAAAAGAGGGATAATAGTAGCAACTATCTCCCAAGGTTTCTGTGAGAGTAAAATAAAATAATATACACAAAGTGACTTGCTAATGATAAAGCCCTAAACAAATGAAGGTTGTTGTTATTATAACAAGACTTAGAATAGATAGGATATTTGGGGTGAGTGAGTGGGAGTTGAGGATGAACCAAATTCCTTCATACTCTATGCATCCAGACTTTTATACAAAGCTTAAAGACAGTTTTTAAGAACCAGTGCAGGACACTTTTTTTCCCCCATATTCACATGTGTTGTCACTAACCAGCTGTGGTTGCAATTCATTTATTTCTATGCACTATGTGGTATGTAACTCTTATAGTTGATTATCAAGGAGATAATTGCATACCAAAAGGAAATGGTTATTCATTCTATCTATCCTTTTTCTCAAAAGCTTTCCTGAGAGTATCCTCTCTTTCAAAATA